TTGCAGAGTCTGACGCGTGACGTGGCCATGTGGCATTTGGACAGGCTGCGTAGGGGGCAGGGCTGAAAATGGGCCACGAGCTGGCCTGGGCCGCCTGCTTGCTCCCGCACTTGGCCATGCACTGCCTGCTAGGGACAGGGATGGATGGACAAGCCCGTCCCAGTGTCCCTGTGCCCACAGTGAGGGCACGAAGCTCCCTGGGCACATGGCTCAGCCGGCAGGATCTGGGGGTTGGGCCTGCCTCTGCTCAGCTGTGTGCCTTCTGAATGGTCACCTGCCTCTCCGGACCTCATGCCACCCTATCCTCCACATGCACACGCACATACACTAACACACACATTCACCCTCACACACATGCATGTGCACTCATTCACACACATACATGCACGTGCACTCACACATTCTCACACGAACATGTGCACACACTCATTCAAATACATGTATGCACACACGCACTCATTTGCACACATGCACTCATTCACACACATGCACATGTGCACACACATAAACGTGCATGCACACATGCACACTCATTCACACATGCACACATTCACATATGCACATGCACACATTCACATACATACACGTGCACACATTCACACGTGCATGCACATGCACATTCACATTCAAGTGTGAGCATATATGTTCACACATGCACACACTCATTCACACATACACATGCATACATGCACTTATTCATCCACATGCACGTACACATGCATGTGCACACATTCACTCATGCACATGTGCACACACATTCACACGTACACTAACATTCGCACACCTGCACTCATGCACACACACATTCACACATACACACTCAGTCACACATGCACACTCATTCACATACGTGCACTCACATGCACACACATGCAGTCGCACATACACCCCCCACATTCACACATGCACACAAGCACTTGTATTCACACATGCACACACATGCAGATGTTCACATTCATACACACACTCACATTCACACACACATGCACATGTACACACATGCACATGTACACACACATGCATGCGTGCACACACATGCACTCACATTCACACACATACATGCATGCATGCGCGCACACACGCACAGCTCTGAGCAGAGCTCGCTGCAAAAGCCCCAGTGGTGCCACCCAGTGGTAGTGTTAAGTGGCTCTGCCGTCAGCCTGCCACTTACAAGCTGTGACCCTGGCCACTGCCTTAGCACATCTGTGCCTGGCTTTCTCCAGCAAGCGTTGGCTGAGTGCCTGCTGTGCCCCGGTACTGTTCTACATGCTGGGGGCATGTCAGGGAACTGGCAATGCCTGCTTTGTGCTGCTGACGTCCTGGCATGAACAATCAGAAATGGACACAACAAATAAGGGGAATTATGCAGTGTTGAGAGGTGAACACTCGTGCAGACACAGAGGCAGGATAAAGGGTCAGGGAGCGGGGCCGGAGCTGCTGCCATTTTAAACAGGACAGTCGGGGTAGCCTGCACTGAAAGGTCACATCTGTGTGAGGATCGGACAGCGGGAACCCCGAGGGTCTCTGGGGAAGACTGTTCCTGGCAGGGGGATCAGCTGTGCGGAGGCCCTGAAGCAGGGGGGCTTCCAAGGGAACTATCTCAAGGGCTGTTGAAATTCGGGTGCCGCCAGCACAAAGTAAACAATACACGGTTATTTCTCCTACTGAGCTTTTTTTGCTCCTGTGGTCCTGGAAGCAACAGGGCCTTCTGGGCACAGAGCATGGGCACTAGAGTCTGAACTGTCTCTGGGCCCGGATGACCATGATCCACCCCATCCTGTGCAAGGTGACAAGCTCCCTGCTTCACGTTGCCGGCAGCCGAGTCGAGGTGCCCTCCAGCCGTCCTCCCACAAGATCAGTGGCCCCTGCCCCACAGCCTTTACCTGTGTTCCATCAGAGTCGCTGCACGGAGCCCAGCCTCGATATGCATGTGTCGCTCACAGCACATGCGTAATTACTGCACATCTGCGCACACACACGTACCAGGCACCCACAGGTACAGGGGGGCACACACACCACACATATGCACAAGCACATATGCAACACACGTATGCCATGCATACGGACACATACACATGCCACGCTCACACACACACAACATACTTGCCTGAATGCATGTGTGAACACACATCTTCCCACTTCCAAGCGCTGCTTCCAAACATGCCCTTTCTCAGGATCGCCGGCACCCCCTGAGCTGCTGAAACATCCCTGCCTCCCTCTCTGCTCCCTGAGCCCTCTAGAGTCCCCCTGCCTAAGAATACGCTAGGATATCGATATTTCATCTTCAACAGCGCTTCTACTTAGAAACACTTCACCCCAGTTCTCATTCCTCAGGGCAATCTAGGAAAGAAGGTATTTTTACTCTTCCTGTTTTAAAGATGAGGGGCCTGAGGGGATGAGAGAGCTGATAGAATTGGCTCAGGGACACATGGAGAGCCGGGTCAGGCTGGGATTTGGACCCAGGCCCCGGGGCTCTGCATATGTGGCTCACAAGCTATTTTCAAGCATCCGTTGCCCCATGCTGGCCCTGTGCTGGTGCTCCAGGTATCAGGGCTGCCCATTCATATGACACTGCCAGCTGGCTGCCTCACGGGCAGCTCACGCTCAGAGCTCCAGCTCTTCTCCCCTGCAACCCCCAGCCCCACTTCCCCAACTCGGCTGGTATTCTCATTCCTGGTGGGACACCTGGGAGGGGTTCCCTGCCCATGTCCACATCGTTCCATCAGTTAGTCGATCATCAGCAGCACCCCAGGCCCTCCTCTTCCCTCCCGCTGCTGCTGCTGCATCCTGACCAGGCCAGCGGCAGCCCCTTCCTGAATCCTGCACCAGCCGCCAGCCTGTCCCAGGTTTCCCTCGGAGCTGACATCTGTTCCACACTCACACCTCAATCGTCTGGCCCTTCTGCCTAAAGCCCTGCTAAGGCCCTTGGGTTCCCAAGATAACAAGAGATCTCCCACGGGAGGCCCGACCACCTTACACCACAGGGTGCCCATGCTCAGTAGGTACCCAGTGAGGAGAGAAGCATGGTGTTCCCTCCAACACCTGCGTCACACTCACACTCGTGTGTCCCACCAGCTCTTTCCAGCAGGCTCCACGCTGCTCCCAGCACTATTGAGAATGGCAGGGCCACTACCCCCAATGCTGCTAACGAGCAGCTCTTCGGTGTTGGGAGTGATCTTGGGCTGGGCCTGATTCCCATCATATCCAATCGGAGGGAAGCACCCTGCAAGGGAGTTGGTATTCTGCCGAGGAAGGAACCACGGCCCAGGGGGTGAAGTGACCAGGAGTGGCAGCGCGACACGCGCCGCTGGGTGTGGCAGTGGCCGCTGGGCAAGTCCTCCTGCAGCCTCCCACCTCCAAACCGCCAGATGTCCCATCTCTGCTCCCTGAAACGGCCCTCCAGACTCTGCTTGGTTCTCTCCCAGTCCCCCTCAGACCCTCGTCCCTGCTAAACCATGGAAGCCGTCCTTGCCAAGGCCAGTGACCTCCACCCTGCCCAGTGGGAGGTTGGTCCTCAGCCCCTCCCACGCAGCTGCTGTGGCACCTGACGCAGCTGATGTGCCCACCTGTCCGGACACAGGACGACCACTTGGGTTCCCGGGCTCCCCACTGCCCAGGGGTGCTGCCTGCCTCCTCTTTGGGCCACTGGAGGAGTTGGCCACGCCTCACCCATCCCTCCTGTCCCCTGGCCTCTCTAGCCCCACTGCCAGCCTCACAGAGGCTTCTCATCTGGGGCCCATGGCCCCGGGTCGTGTGTAGAACCAGGCAGCAGCAGCGTAACTAGCTTTCTTCGTAGCTCTGCGTGGCCTATTTCATGCCTTTAAAAGCAAAATTCTGAGGAGTCCGTAGGTCTCACTGGCCCCTGAGTTCAAGGCCCCTGGACACCCCTGAGGGTCCCACTGCCCCAGGACGGCCCTCTGGCCTCGACCCCAAACACCCGATTCGTGCTGTCAGCCTTTGCCTGGTGCTGATAACTCAAAACCCTCCCATTCCCCAATCCTCCCAGATGCTCCAACCAAAATGCTGGGCCTCCTTCTTTTTCTCACATGTCACCCATCAGCAAGGGGTCACCATGTCCCAGGTGTGTACGGGACCCAGCTTCTGCACTGAGGCCCACTGCACCCCACAAGGTTTGACCCCGAGGACCCTGTTCCTAGGGAGGCTTCCTGTCTCATCAGGAGGAAAAGCCAGTGTCCCAGAGGCCGGCAGCCCCACAGGACTGGCCCCTGCCCCTCGGTGCTCGCCGGGCACAAAGCCACTTCCCTCTTCGTGGTATGAGATTACCCACATCTCCCAGAGCTTTGAACAAGGTCCCTGGTCCCAGCAGCCTCCCTGACCTCCACGTACAACGGCCGCCCTGGGGTGAGGGCTGGCCTCCCTGGTTCTTGTATAAGGCTCTCCTCGATGCCCGCTGCATGGCTGCTCATGTCTTCTTGCCTGGAGCCTTCTTCCCTCCCTTAGGCAGCTCCCTGAGAGCAGGGCTCTCCCAGGTTTTCACTGCTGTGACCCCAGCACCTGGAGCGCACTGCGATGCAATCCGTCCACCCAGACCGCACTGAGCCTGAAGCCTCATCTCCTGACCACATAGCTAAAGAGCCCATCTGCCCCCCTGTCCACACAGCCCCAGAGACGCCTGCAGCCCCCAGCCCCAGCTCCTACAGCCTCTGGCCCATTAAAGTCCTGCCAGAAAGGGTGGGCTTTCTCCCAGACAGGAGAATGACCCTACCCCATCCTGGAGGAAATCAGGCCTCACTGTCCATTCCATCCTCCAAAGCTCAGTGAGCACCCACTGTGCCAGGCTGGTCCCGCACACCTGCAGGAATCCTCACTCTTACTCTGTGCACAGGTGGATGGAGCAGGTGCCTCGGAGGGTGCCACGTGCACACTCCCCAGACAGCAGTGCTGGCTGGGGCAGCCCTGCCAGAGAAGACCCTCACCCACCTCCCCGTATCCGCCCACCCCTCACCCCCCATCGGCAGGTTTCCCCACCAGTCACTCACCTGTGGTACCGTGCCCACCCCGGTCCTGGGTCAGGCTGGTCAGGCAGTTTTCAGGGCCACCGGCCACCGCATCTCTCAAGCAGACATCCCCGTTGGGGGCCAGGGGGCCCGCGGCAGGGCCTCCCGCCTCGCCACCCAGGCAGGCGCAGGGGCTCTGCATGATGCCGCAGGGGTGCGAGCTACGGCTTCCGGCCAGACACGCATCCAGCCAGCGGCATAGCATCTGGCAGGCGGCGCGGCTGGGGTTGCGGTTCCCCACCACCAGGTACTCCACGGAGAAGTCGTCGCCGGGGCTCGCCGGAGCGGGTCGGGGCCCGAGGTCGTGGTCCTGGGGTGGCTGCTGGCGCCGCATCTGCAGGAACTGCTTGCTGGCCTGCAGGAAGGCCAGGGGCGCCGAGGAATCGCAGAGCCTCAGCACGTCGTCGAAGCTCTCCACGCCCAGGTAGGTGCGCGTGGACTCAAGGAAGGAGTCGAACTGGTAGGTGCGGACGTGGCCGGGGCCGGCGCAGGGCACAGGCGCCTTGGCCACCTTCATGTAGAGCGTGTAGCGCCGCGGGTCCGGGTTGCGCAGCGTCCAGGAGCAGCGCGAGGCGTGGGCCGGGAACACCGCGGCCGCTGAGAAGTAGCCGAAGAACTTTCCCTGCACCAGCGTGGCGCACGGCTCGGGCACCGGCCCTGCGTCGGCCCCAGTGGCCGCCCGTACACAGCGCCCCAGCAGCAGCAGCAGCAGCAGCAACAGCAGCGGGGCGAGGATCCACACGGGGCGGGGGGCGGCGGCCTGGCCCCTCATCCTAGCTCGCGGGGCCGCCGGGGTTCCGCGGGCTGGGCAGGCAGGCGCGGGCCAGGCCTTGACATGCCAGGGTCCGGCGGTGGGCAGGGCCGGCCCGGCGGGGGCAGGGGTGTGGGGCAAGGGTGGGATGGGAGAGGGCCCCGCTTCCGGTGACAGAGAAGGCAACAACGGCTTCTAAAGTCCAGGGCCCTGGTGCCTGCCTGTGACCACCAGCAGCAGCTGGAAGAGAAAGAGCAGATGGTCAGAGTGAGCCCCTGGGGACACACAGGCTCTGGGTATGGGGGTGCACTCTCTCAGAGGAGGAAGCTCAGCCTGCTCCCAGTGAGGGCAGGAGGACTTTGGGCCGCAGACAAAGGCCCTGGCACCATCCAAGGCACCTGCTCCGTCCACCTGTCTGTCTGCCACCCACCGGCATGATCACCTGTAGGGCAGCGGCCTAGCTAGGAGAACTAGTGCCTCCACTTCCACCCAACCCAGGCCTGAGCAGGGAGGGCTGGGCACTCCACCTGGGCCTCCCGGGGGTGCCCTTTGGCTGGACAGCCTGGTGTGGCTCCCCAGGGGTCCTGGCCGCTCACCACGCTCTGCAGGGCTGCCCCTCTGAGAGTGGAGGGTGCAGTTCTCTCAGGCTCTCTCCCCTGCTGACCTTGGTCCCTCCTCTCTAACCTTCCTCCTTCCTGGGAAAATTCTGAAAACGCTGTGGTGGGGAAGCGGCCCTGGAGAGCATGGGAGAAACTTTACTCTGCCATTCCCCAGCCTCTTCTAAAGGCTTGGGGTGCAGGAAGTGCAGAGCCTCAACAGCAGCTGAACCTTTGGGGTGAGGTGGGGTTCAGATTTGGTGACCCTCAGGACTGCCCTCTGCAGCCTCCAGTGGCATGTGCCCAGCTGGCACTCCTGGCAGGAAGCTCCCTTCCGGCCCTTCCGTGTACCCCTTGTGCCCTAAAGCTCCAGGCAGAGGGTCTGGGGAGGGACAGAGGAGGGAGGGAGCCACCAGGAGCCACCTCACCTCCGTCCTACCTCTGCAAGGCGTTACCTCCCATCATGAATCATAGAAAAACAGGTGCAGAGAGAGTCAATGATTTATCCCCGTCAGGGAGTGGGTGGGAGAACCCATACACGAACCCCAGGCTGACCCCAAATTTGTGCCACCAGGAGACACCTCCCAGCTCCAGGGGGGGGCCCAGCTTGAGTGACGATCTACTCACACCAGCACAGGTGAGCAGAGGCACAGGGAAGGTCCCGGATCAGGAGCTGCTCTGAGTCCAGCGGGCACCCACCTCGCTGTGGACCTTGGCAAGCTCCTCCTATCCACAGAACTCTGTCTCCCTGCCACCCCCAAGGCCTCTGGCTGGGCTACCCATCCCACCCAGCAGCCGAGCCAGTGGGGGAGGGAGGGGAGCGGCAGGCAGTCCCCCTCCCCCAGTCCACCCGGCCTCCGGGTGCGGGTGCCTCCGCTCTGCTGACCGCACAAATGCCCATCGCCCGCCCACGGGACCCACCGCTTCCTGCTGCCCAGGCCCAGCTGGCCGGCGACACAAGGTCTGTCACTGCTCTGCAGTTCCCTCCTGGCGCCCTTCCTGCACAGCCTTGTAGGCAGAGCAGGGAGCTGGACCCAGGCAGCCTCGAGGCCTGACCCCGGTCTCTGAGCCCAGAGGAACCAGAAGGCTGAGGCGTGGGCCCAGACAAGTCTTGTACCACAGAGCCTCAGTTTCCCCATCTGTAAAGTGGGGTGGGTGCCCCACTGCTCTCAATAAGATGTTAAGAGCTGGGTGGGGAATCATAGCCGGGGGTGCAGAAGTGCTCCCCAAGGGAAGCTGGCTGGGGCTTTTGGATCCGGGGACGGACATGGCTCAGTCCAGCCCTCTGTGGTCTCCTTCCTGACAAACATTCCAGGCTCCCAGGAGGAAAGTGTTTTTAAAAAGGGCAAATCGGCCGGGTGTGGTGGCTCAAGCTTTGTAATCCCAGCTCTTTGGGAGGCCAAGGCAGGTGGATCATGAGGTCAAGAGATCGAGACCATCCTGGTCAACATGGTGAAACCCCGTCTCTACTAAAAATACAAAAAATTAGCTGGGCATGGTGGCGTGTGCCTGGAATCCCAGCTACTCAGGAGGCTGAGGCAGAATTGCCTGAACCCAGGAGGCAGAGGTTGCGGTGAGCCAAGATAGCGCCATTGCACTCCAGCCTGGGTAACAAGAGCAAAACTCCATCTCAAAAATAAATAAATAAATAATGAAAATAAAAATAAAAAAGAGCAAACCTACAATGCTATCTTCCCATCTTGGCACCTCTGCAGCAGACCTGGGAAGATGCCGCCACACCCCCTGCCTCTTGGAAGCCCTCCTCCAGTCTGCCCCCAGACATGCTTGGCTGGGTAGGCTTGGACAAGGCATGGAAGAGTGAGGCGGTCCTGGGTGCCCCCTCCATCTCATGGAGTGGGAGCACCATGGGCAGGTCCCACAGCCAGGCCTCCCTAGCTTCACCTCACACTACAGTCTCAGGGTGAGCCCAGTCCTGGATGAGTATTGGCATAGTCTGGCAGAGCCTGGCAGAGTGCCAAGCCCATCTGGTGCTGACCCCATGTGGCCTTGACCCCTCCACAGGCCAGCCAGCTTCACTGCTCCATATGCCCCTCAAAGTGCCAAGGAGGCCCCAGGCAATCCTGTTAGCCATGACCCTGGGGTTGGTTTCACCACCTTCCCCCAGAGGAACCCTCACAGCTCAAGATGCTGGGGCCTGCCTCTCCCCTCCTCATCTCAGGCCCTGGCAGCTCCAGCCCACAGCCTTCCCAGGGCGGGGCAGGTTCTGGGGGCCTGCGGTGCCAGGAGTGGGCATAGGAGCCTGGGTGCACAAGCACTGGCCGCTGAGCACACGGTCTTTAGGGCCTCGGTCATCCCATATGGAAATGGGCACAGCCTGGCACCTGGAAGGGAAGCGCAGCCTCATAAGCCCAGCTGGCCATGATGGAGCTGGTGTCCACAGTGCTGTGTGAACGGTGCAGGCCACGAGGGGTGTCCGAGGACACGCTCCGGCTCGTGAGAAAACACAGAGCAGTGCATCCCACGCTCACAGCGAGACAGGACGCATGCCAGGCACACCGTTGCTGAGGCACCGTTACAGATCCATTTTACAGATGGGCATGCTGAAGTCCACAGAGGGGCCATGCCTCACTGAAGGCTCACAGCCTGTACCAGGCGCCTGAGCCTGGATTCCAGCCCAGGCCTGCAGGTTGCCACCAGTGCTCTCTGCACAGCACGGCCTGGCATGGCCCCAGAGCAGGTGGACCAGGCCCTATCCCTGCCACTGTCCCCAGGCCCTTGAGAGCTGAGCCGAGTGGAGGCCTCCTGGCATCCCCCAGGGTCCTGGCATCACTGGTCACCCTCACTGTCACCAGCTCACTCCATGCCTTGAGTCCTCTTAGGGTTGTGAGGTCCATCTGTAGGCAAGAAGTGGCAGTGGGGGTCAGAAGCAGGCTGGTGTCCCCATCAGAACGGCCACTTAGAAGGCCCACCCTGGCAGTGCTGGGGGCACCCTGGGGGTGAGGATGAGGGAGGGGCATGAGGGCCGGAGCGGCCATGGGGAAGGAGGGTGGTCAGGAGGTGGAAGGGGGAGGCCCCAGCACCGGCCGGCACGGAGGCTGTGCAGGCCCACTTCTGGCCTGGATAGTGAGGAGTGGGAGGTGCCTGCAGGGAGGAAGGGGTAGGGCCAGGGGCAGGGCAATGCCCAATGCCTGGCAGGGACCTGGAGCCTTGGCAGACTGTCTCGGGACCAGAAGATGGCCCAGAAGTGCCTGTCCCTGGGATTCTTAAGCCATGAAGCCCCAGGGCTCCAACGGAGGGACCGCAGTGCCATCAGCAAGTCAGGTGGTGTGGGGGCAGGGGGACTCAGGTCACTTACTGGCTCCCCAGCGTCCCCTAGAACATCTGTACTGAGCCATCCCCACCCAGGCCTTGGGAGAGGCCCTGTTGGCTGGAAGGCCGGCCCAGCTGACATGAATTTGAGACCCACAGAGCAGGCCTGATCCTGCCTTTTCTGGCTGAGCCACTGAGCAATTCAGGGGAGGACCCAGGCTGTTGTCTTGGCTGATGGCCTGAGCCAACCAGTGGGCACGGGCCCCCCACCTGCCACACTCACCCATCCCTCAGCCAGCTGAGGTCCCCTGCACCCCGCCTGGCCGCCACCCTTCAACGGAGCTACTGGGGAGCCTTCTCACACCAAGGCAGGCCCAGGCAGGCAGAGAGCTGGCCAAGGCTAGGGGGCAACCAGGGACCCCCTCCTCAGGCTCCTGTCCCCCCATGCCAAGCCCATGTCACAGGGCTGCAGTCCAGCTGAGACAGGGCGGGGAGGCTACTGATCCTGCCTGGCCACCAGGGTGGCATCCTGGAGGGGGCAGCACCTGAATGGCGCCCTCAGGATGAGTGAGTCCCTCTGCCTGCCAGGGGCAGGGGCAGGCCAGTGTGGTGTCTGGGCCAGGAGGAACGTCAATTCAGAGGGTCACAGGAGACTTCCTGTGGGCACATGGAGACAGCCGGTGGCCCCTGCTGAGACAGGAAGGGAGAAGCAGATGTGCATGTGTGTGTGTGCACGTGTGTGTGTGTGCACGTGTCTGTGTGTGCCCAAGTGCATGTGTGTGTGCACACGTATGCCTGTATGCATGTGAGTGTGCATATGTGAGCATGGACACACACTCACATGTGGGACATTATACAAGGCCACATGACAGTGGGAGAGCCTCGGCTCAGAGCTGTGCTTGCTGGGATGTGAGGGCAGGCAGAGCGGGGGCTGGGAGGGGGGGCATGCCCCAGAGGGTGCCTCTAGCGGAAACCACAGCCACAGCCTCGGACAGAGAGGTCCAGGCCCGAGGCTAACAATGGCTCCGCCCTGGGGCAGCTGCTGGGGCATCTGCAGAGCGCATCTGTGACCTCGGCTCCCCTGGGCTGGTTCACCCTCCTTCCCTCAGCCATACCAGCTCCCAGGTCCCCTCGGTGGGGAGGATGCCCGGGGGCCCCAGGGGGTGGACTAGACAAATTCCTAGCCCCTCAAAATCTATGCTCTGCGCTTCTCTGGCAGGTGCCTTGATTTCCCCAGGAGCCTTGGCAGCCTCATCCTCCACAGGCCTGCTCCATGCGGTGGTCAGGGGCCCTAAAGGTTGAGTCCTGATGACTCCTGAGCCCACCCCATGTCAGGCCTCCACTGTGAGGATAGAAACCTCCCGGCCTTCAGGC